TAATAATAATAATAATAATAATAATAATAATAATAATAATAATAATAATAATAATAATAATAATAATAATAATAATAATAATAATAATAATAATAATAATAATAATAATAATAATAATAATAATAATAATAATAATAATAATAATAATAATAATAATAATAATAATAATAATAATAATAATAATAATAATAATAATAATAATAATAATAATAATAATAATAATAATAATAATAATAATAATAATAATAATAATAATAATAATAATAATAATATATAATAATAATAATAATAATAATAATAATAATAATAATAATAATAATAATAATAATAATAATAATAATAATAACAATAATGATAATGGAATAAAAAGAGTTACATTGGAGAATTTCATTTATTTGAAGAATTCGTGTCCAAAAAATGGAAAATGAACGAAATTATTCTCGAAAATATTGGGAATTAATGCGAAAACGAAGTGAATTTGCACGTATAAAATTGAAACAAAAATTAGCATCCGAAATTACGACAATACATGACATTGAACGTAGACTGAAGGAGAAAAAGTATGCTTAATTGTTTTTCTTCTTCTCTAATTAAAATAAATTATACGTGAACAAATATAAATTTGTGAACTACCATCCGATTCTCAAAAAGATTTCAAAACTGTCATCATTGTAGAATTGTCTACCTATCAGATCCATCTGGTCTATTTATCTCTCTCTCTCTCCATATATATATATACATATATATATATATACCAGATCTATCTATCTATCTATTTATCTAATCTATCTATCCATCTATCATTTATCTTACTCATTTAACATTGCTTCCATAATTGCTAGAATGAATAATTATCATTGTTTCTATGATAATTTCATTTTTCAGTTATTACAAATGAATTTTAATGATTTGTTTATTTACCATCAATACAGGATAAAGCAACAAGAACGAGCAGATGAATACCGTAATGAAGTGGAAGCGATGAAACGACGAGTTCAAGCACGAGCGCTTATTGTCGAACAACAAGAAATGCTAATTAAAATGCAGCGGTATTTGTATTTCTTTAATTTATTTATTACTTCTTGATAAGGTTTCTAATAAAAATAATAATAATAATAACAATTCCATTTTCTTTTTATAAAGCAACAATTACTTAAATTTATTAACTAAATTTAAATATTATAAGTTAATTTTTTATGGTAAAACACAATTACTTAAATTTATTAACTAAATTTAAATATTATAAG